CCCTAACCCGCTCTCTGCTTCCTCGCAGCATGGAGGAGCCTGTGGGAGCGCGGCCCCAGGGACGGCGGCGGCCCGAGGGGCCCGGCCCGGCTCTCCCTTGGCCTCGTGGACGGCGAGGGGGCGGCGGGCACCGGAGCGCGGAGGTAGGGCTGTCTGGCTTTGCACCCCGCAGCCCACCGGGCCTCTGCCCGCGGTGGACGGCACCTCTCCCCTCTAAACGGGCAGCTGGATCGCCATCTCTGCAGGCCAGAGCTGGCCGGGGAGCTCGAAGGGATTTTTACCGGAGCAATATTAGTGTTTGCCAGGTCGTGACTTGAGCTCCCCGGGAACCCGGGCTGCCGCGGCAGAGCCACGTCCTCGTGTCGATCGCCCTGAGGCCGCAGCCGATGCTTAGGCTCAGCAATTGCTGTTTGGGGGTTGGGTCCAGCAGCTCTCTCGGATTGTCTGGGGAGCAGCTGTTCCTCAAGTTGACCGTGACCCTGCTCAGCCCTGTCTGCACACCCAGCTGACCCCTGATTCCTTTAGGCCTTTGACATTTATTTCCCCATGGAGCTCTGGCAGGGCAGAATCTTTGGGGAAATGAGAGATGAAACTATCCATGCTAACCTGGGCAGCATCACCCTCTTAGAAACTTTTTGAAATCTGGGACATAGAAAAAGAGTCCTCTGTATCCCGAGAGCAGTGTAAATCCCCCAATATTAGACTGGCTCTGAGGAGGTATTTCTTTCCAGAAGGGGCTGTTGGGCGTTGGAATGGGCTGCCCAGGGCAGGGGGAAAGTCCTCATCCCTGGAGGGGTTGAAGAGTCGGGTTGACCCAGCGCTGAGGGATCTGGTGGAGTTGGGAATGGTCAGGGTGAAGTGAATGGTCAGGGTGAGGTTAATGGTTGGACTGGAGGATGTTCAAGGTCTTTTCCAACCTGGATAATTGTGATTCTGTAAATCGACAGATGAGTCCCAGAGCTGCTCTTCCCACAGCCCTACGTTCACCCCCTGTCCAGAAAAACTCAGAGCAGTACCAGTGATTAGGCATTTTTAGATCTGCATAAGAAAGCACAATGAAAAGCATCTACTGGGGCATGGATTAGACTAACACTTAAGCTTTCTCCTTGTTAAATACTAGCACACAGTCTGGCCACTTGAAGAGTGAAGTTCTTGGGGTGGTTTTCTCTCCTTGAGCATCTTTCAGCCCCGGCTGCTGTCAGTACGCTGCCTGTCATGCTGTCTCTCTGTTCTGAGCAGGATCCAAGGGACCAGGCCCTTCTCCCTGTCTGCTGCTGCCGGCGCTGTGCTGGGAATGGGCCGGTGGGGAGCTGGCGGCGGGGAGCAGCAGCTCACTCTGCAGGATGTGGCACAGCTGCTGCGGAAGCAGGAATGTCGCCGAGTGGTGGTGATGGCCGGCGCTGGGATCAGCACCCCCAGTGGCATCCCAGATTTCAGGTGACACCTCCTTCGCTTCTTTGTCCTTTTTCGGTGCTGGGAGGGCTGAGATCTCCACCATAGGTGACACCAGTGCCCGCTACTCCTCTCGACCCTTGTTTTGTTAATCCGCGCCTGAGTTTCCGTGCCTGTGGATCCTCCTTCGCCAGCCAAAGGCAGCCTGGCCTCACCAGTCGGACTTGGGGCCAGTCCTTGGCCTGTGTTCTCACACCTGTTGCTTGATGCTGTGGCTACACTCGCTGCACCACTTTGGCTACCAGAGAAGAGCCCAGGTGGCCATGGCAGGGGCTTGAGACACTCACAGCTGGAAGAGAGTGTGGTCCTCCCCTTCCTCCATATGTGGGCAGACCCCGCAGCCAGGGCAGCAGCAGAGCAGACCCCAGAGGCAGGTTCTCCGGTGCTGGGGGGGGGTTTGTCTGCTCTCCCAGACAGCACAAAGCAGCCAGGGAGAGCCCAGGGACCTGCCTTGACCTGGTGCTGTGTGGGGTGGTGCCTCTTTCTGTGTTCTGGCTGCCAGCCCCACTCCCCTCTTTGCAGGTCCCCAGGGAGTGGCCTTTACAGCAACCTGGAGCAGTACGACATTCCTTACCCAGAAGCCATCTTTGAGCTGATGTATTTCTGCGTCAACCCGAAGCCGTTTTTCACTCTGGCCAAGGAGCTCTACCCTGGCAACTACAGGCCCAACTACGCGCACTATTTCCTGAGACTCCTGCATGACAAAGGGCTCCTCCTACGCCTCTACACCCAGAACATCGATGGGCTGGAGAGAGGTGAGTTTTCCTCATCTCCCAGCAGCTGAGCACCAGGAGGAGATGAGAGCAAGAAGCAGAGTAGGAGGTGGGAGCGGGGAAGCGCCCAGCAAATGTGGGGTTTCTGGTTCAGTGCCCTTGCATTGAGCTGGTCCCGTCCCATGCGCTGTGCCCCAGCTGCTGGGATCCCGCCCGATAAACTGGTGGAAGCCCATGGCACCTTCGCCACCGCCACGTGCACGGTCTGTCGGAGGAAGTTCCCAGGAGAGGACTTGAGGGTGAGCGGCCGCAGCGGGGCGTCGATGCGCGGAGCAGAACTTGTTGCAGGCCTGTTACATCGCCCTCAGGGCCAAGAGGGTTGATCGAAGGGGACTGGATTGGGGCTGGATGTTGCTGCGAGGACACCTCGCAGTTCTGAGGCTGCTTGTGTCGGTTTGTGATGCCCCGTAACGAGTGGTACTGGGTGCTCTTGCTTCAGGGGGACGTCATGGCAGGGAGGGTCCCTTGCTGTCCTGTCTGCACTGGGGTCATCAAACCCGACATTGTGTTCTTCGGTGAGGAGCTCCCACAGCGCTTCTTCCTGCACGTGACGGACTTCCCCACGGCAGACCTACTTTTCGTCATTGGAACATCCCTGGAGGTCTGGGACTGAGGGAAACCCCCACTCATGAGAGACACACAGAGAACAGGGCCTGAGAGGGCTCTGGGGAGAAAGAGGGGTTAGCAGAGAAGGCAAGAAACTGGGTTATTGGTAAAATTGGAGGCAGCAGGGTAAGAAATAAGGTGCATGTGCTTCAAGAGACCCTCTGCAACCCTGGGGGGCACATGGCGAGCAGGAGTGACTAGTGAGAGCTGTAAACTGCTCAGAGCTGGGGCAGCTCAGCCTCACACAGCAGTTAGGACCCCGGTGTGCAGCGGGTTCCCACCTGCAGGGCCCCGTGGCCGGTGACTGTCTCTCCCTGTCCCTTAGGTTGAGCCCTTTGCCAGCCTGGCAGGAGCCGTCCGCAGCCCTGTGCCCCGAGTCCTGATCAACCGAGACCTTGTTGGACCCTTCGCCTGGCGGCAGCGCCACAACGATGTAGCTCAGCTGGGGGACGTGGTCCGTGGGGTCGAGAGGCTGGTGGAGCTCCTGGGCTGGACCGGGGAGATGCGAGCGCTGATCCAGAGGGAAGAGGCGAAGGTGGGAGCAGGGCTCCAAGCCCCCATGCCTGGGCTCGCTGCAGGGAGCAGGGCTGTGTGGACTCACACCACAGACATGGCCATGCTTGCAGGCTGTGTTCAGAGAAAAGGACTGTAGAAAAGTACCAAAAGGTTAAAAAAAAAAAAAAAAAGCAAAGCCAAACCAAACAGCCCCTGAGAGCTATTCCCCAGAGGAGGTGCTACCGAGCAGAGGCTGAATGTTTCCGTGGTGCCAAAGGGGAGGACGTGGATCTGCCAGCCTGTGGTGAACATGGAAGAGGCCTGGCTTTGGGTTGAATGAGAGCAGTTATGGGCTTCTTCAAGTAGTGACCCACTTAGTTACTGTAAAGCTTTCTGCTGATTCTATCTGGCTTTTGGATTTGCTCCCAAACACGCTGAAAAAGCCCTGTAGATGGAGTTTCCTGGACCAAACATAACCACCACCACCCCACTCCCCCCCGCGGTGACCTGTATCAGATTAACCCAGTACAGCCCTGTAAGAGCCAGGGCTTCCCTTCAGCCATGCAAGATGTGGGGGTTCTCTTTAAGCAGCATGGCCCCCAGAGCATGAGGAGACCAAAACCCAAAAACCCCGGAGCTGCTCCGCTGCTGAGCCCAGGATGTTGTTAACAACCCATTAATGTCAGTAATTGCTGAAATGAACCAAGGAGCTGAGCTTTCCTCTTTCTGGACTTCACTTAATCACTTTGGTTTCATTTCTGGTCACTGGGAGAAATAAAGGATAGTGGTGACAGAAGGGAGGCTCTAACTGCACCACAGTGGCCAGATGTGTGATGAACAGTTGGCAGGAGTGAGGGTTCTTGCCCTAATTATTAACTAGACTTGCCTTTTCTTCCCCTGCTGATCACCTATTTCCCTGGGCCTTTCTTGCATCTGTAACCTGAGATCTTCAGAAGGGAGAAACTGTAGGAAAGCAAGTTCTTAGTTACTTCGAGTTTAGTGCTAATGTCAATTATGCCATTACTTTGGACCCGTTGGGAAGATTTTCCATATTTGGCATCAAACGCTTTTTGAATATTTTTTTTCTGAGTTGAAGCAGAAGTTTAACTTGTGGGCTGGGCCCCCTCCCACTGGCCACAGCAGGGCTGTGGTAAGGCCACAGTTGTATTTTTAACAGATACGCTACCCCTACACAATGGCTTTGACCCAAGAGAAAATCTGGCTTTAAGATTCCAATTTTAACATTCAGGTTGTTCCTATTTTCATCAGATTATGGGGTAAGAATGAATAGGAATCATTAGTCCCTTGGTCAGGCTTTTAATTTTTCACCACAGGCCCTTTTGCACTCGCATGAGATCAGCCCTTGGTTTAACGCTCACGCTGCCCTGATGTGCTGACGGGGAGAGCATGCAGAGCGTGGTGCTGGCCAAGCCGAGGGGGGCTGGAAGGTCCAAAACACCCTCACAAACACCACCTGGTCTTTCTCTTTGCAGCTGGATGCAAAAGACAACTAGGAGAGCTGGCTGCCTGCGCTCCTGCCACCAGAGCTTCATGGCTGGGGGCTCAGGGGCTCATGCCAGCGCCTTAGACGAGCTGTGCTCCAGCAGCTTTGTCCTCTGGGCCTCCCCGCAAGGTCAGGCCTAACCGGACAGCGGAGCAGGGCTTCCAGCCCCCCACGCCAGGCACAGCATCTGCTGGCTCCTCTCGCAGCTCCTCCTCAGATCTTCTCCCAGTGACGACCTTCCAGCTTGGTGTTTATTGTTCAGATGGAATCTCTGCTCAGGGGACAGATGGTGCCATGGGGGGGCCACCACTCCTCCTGCTCAAGATGCTGGAAGAGTTTTGAATCAATGTAGTGTTAATTATTTAAGAATAAAGAGTTCTAATTCTTTTGCTGATTTCACCTGAGGGGTTTTTCTGCAAACTTCACACTTTCCCCAGTGTTTGAACACATTCTGCCCACCCCACCCCCACTCTTTCACCTGCTTTTTTACTACTTTTTTTTCTTCTTTTAACTCTACACAAGTGCCTTTCCTCCTCGTAGATGCTGTCCCAGGGAGAAGCAGTGTCATCCTGTGCTTGCCCGAGACCTGCTCTGCATATCACAGGTGCCTCTCCTTCCAGCAACAGGACACAATTTTCATCACAACAGAACACAAATTTCATTGCTCCAGTGCCGAAATCTGGCCATGGGGACTGCAGCCACACCTGGGTGGCCCTGGCTGACCCATCTATTGATCATGGGAACTGCTCCAGCGGCCACCCTGGATCAGAACTGGCTCTAAACAAGCACAAGATGCAAAGAATTTTACACCACTGTTCTGTTCCAGTTAATGCTAAACCACAAAAAACCCAAGCAAAGGGAATAAAAGCATTTGAGCATGCAGCTGTGTCTTAAGAACACAACACTGGGACACTGTTCTGGAGTTCTGTGCCTAAAAAGCTTTTCCCAGGTCAAAGCTCTTCCCAGGACAAAGCTGCCCACTGGTTGTTTGCAGGATCAGAAGCGTTTGGCCCCAAAATCCAAGCAGCTGCAGGGACTCCACAGCAGCCCGGCACGGCTCCTGCCAATGCTGCAGAAGGGTGCTGGGCACCCGAGCTGCTTCCCCAAAGAAATGTTCTAGCTTAGCCCCAGTTTAATGTTATAATTTTACCTTCCAAATAAAACTGTAAAGTTGTGTGATTGGCACAGAACCACATGCAGTCAGAAAAAGCCGAAGACCAGACCCATCGTGTTTGATCAATCATTGCCACGCACCCATTTGTCAGGTTTTCTTTATTCTAGCATCACTTTTGCATTCCTACTCGTTTTGGAACTCTGGTACATGAGACAAAGTGAAAGATTTTCTTTAAAACAATTTTCATTAAAAAGAAAAAAAAAAAAAAAAAAAAAAAAAAAAAACAAGACAGACAGATCTAAGCCACAGTGAAGAACAGGATCAACACCAGCCCCCGGGCGCAGACAGAGCGGGCCTGTGGGGAAGCCAAGGCAGACAAGGTGGCAGCAGACAAAGCAGATTTTGGCCTTTTGTTCGGGAAGAGAAGATGGGGAAAGGCTGATGCCAAAAAACTAAACTCCATGGTAACAGGATGGTCGCGCAGGGCTGGAGACCGAGTATCAGGGCGTTGCCAACAGTCACCCCCGTGTCCCTCCTGTGGCCAGAGCTTCACGCAAAGGCACCCCTGGCCTCCCTGCGGCGCATGCCACAGCTCCCCCTGCGCTCATATACACACTCCCATGTCCAGGCGCTGGTTTTTGCACGGTCGCTGTCCCACCCCCAGCCCTGCGCAGCGCACGCATCTACAGCCACCTGCTGAGGACGCGGGGCGCGCAACGCTGGGACACCCCACAGACCACAGCGGCTCCCCCCGACCCCACATGCCCCCTCCATCTCACCTGCACCCCAGGGAGCCGCTCCCCCACTTGCAGCCACACGCCCGCATATACATGAGATGCTCTGTGTATTGCTGAGCCCTGATGGTGAGACAGGAAGATCCACCCCTGCCACCCTTCTTCCCAAACATCATATATTTAAAAAAAAAAAATCCTACTGGAAAGTCCTGGAAGCAATTTGGAGTAGGAAATCCTCAAGGCTGCTGACAGGAAAGGCCAAGGTGGAGCCAGGCATGAGGACGCTCTGGGAGGAGTGGTGGTTGTGGAGCGGGGAAGGAGGCAGGAGGTTTCTCAGTGTGGACTGCAGGGGTCCAGGCTGGATCCGGGTCCCCCAGGGAGTCCCAGCCCAGTACAGCCTCTGGGTGCAGCACCAGTTACAGTGGGAGCTCCGTGGGGCCAGAGGCCTGGATCAGTCCAGCCCCAGGTCTGAGTCGGACGATGACCTCTCATCAGCCACATCGCGGATGGCGTTCTGCAGCGGGGCCAGGCTGCCGCTCGGTGTGATGCCCATGGGCTGGATCACCTGCTCTCTGCAACCAGGGAGCAAACACAGGCCTGCAGCCAGCAGCATGGGAACAGACGAGTGCTGCAGCAGAGCCCAGGGGCAGCAGAACCACCGCTGAGAACCCCCTCTGGAAGCAGGGACAGCTTTAGCCATAAAAACCCCAGCATAGGGAGGTGATGCTGGAAGCACCACCCACAACTGCTGCCCCTCTCGCGTTCCCTGGAACAGGCTCAGTTTTGGGGCCTGTTCTGTGTGGTCTGGGGTTGCCAGAGGAGAGGCAGCGCTGCCACCAGTGTTCCACCCCCTCCAACACACCACGGAAACACACACGTGAAAGCACTGCCCTCAGCACTGCCCTCAGCACTGCCCTCAGCACTGCCCTCAGCAGGGGCTGGACTCAGGAGAAAGGTCTGTGATAAACACCACACACGGGCACTCATGCAGACGTGAATGCACATGATTTTCTAGTACCTGGACAATTTGTCAAACATGTTGACTAACTTCATGGCTTCATACTCCTTCTGCTCTTCAGTCATCCCTTCCATAGGGTTGGGCAGTTTCTCTTCAACACGCCCCGTCACAGGGTTGATGCTGCAACAGCGGAGCCAGGGGAGAGGAGGGAGGTAAAGCAGCAGAGTGACTAAAGGGCTGTTTAAAAACCTTCTTTGCCTCTCCCGAGCAGAGGAACACAGCAGCAAGGCTGCTCATCTTGTTAGCCCCAAGAGCTGCTGCAGGGCAATGTGGCACTTCCAACCTGTTTCTCTATGTCCCACACACTGTTTTCCCCCCTTATAAATGCCTCCCATTTCTTGGCATGAGCAACATCCCCATCCTGCTAACTCCACCGTGCAGTTTTAAACCAGCTTCCCAAGGCCAGACACTTCTCCCCTCTCCTTAAGTCAGGGGGCAAAAAGTTAACACAGAAAAAACCCAAACCCCCAACCTGCAGAGCACTTTGAACAGGATGCTACGAAGTACAGGACCCGCAGCTGAGCAGTCCTGGAGCTCTCCCTGCACACCCTCACCCTCCAGCTACCACCACCCACGAGCAGGAAAATTAAAGAACAAACGAACAAAAAGTCAGCTTGCTCCAGCAGCACAGGGCTCTGGGGATGGAGAGAAGTAACCTGCACTTCCAACCCACCCTCACTCCAGCATGCAGTAAAGGCCGGCTGCCGCTCCGAGGCGTGTGGGTGCCAGACAAAGGGGAAGGACACAGATCAGAGCTGCAGCCACACGCTTGCCAGAGCAGGTCTGGCTCTGCCTGAAGGAACTCACTTTGCTCCAGAGCCTGCGCCCAGCCGCAGGCACCCAATATATGTACCAGTGACCACCCACACCACGAGCAGCTCGGCCACGGAGTTATTTCACCCAAGGAATGGAAAGGGAGGAGCAGGACATCAGAGGTGAGGGTGAAACTGTTGAATAATGCCAAGGAAATGTGCATGTGAAAGAGCAGGACAAGGGAGGTGGCAGGGAGGGAGATGAAGAAAGGGATGGAGCAGGAGTGGGAGCGTGGTGCAGGAAGAGGGGTGCTGCAGAGGGGGTGCAGACTTCTTTACTTGGGCTTTGCCTCTTTGTACTCCTCAGTGTCCGTGTCTTCATCTTCCGAGTACTCCCCCTCTTCCCGACCGCCAGCCATGAGGCCTCGTGCCGCCAGGAGCCCAGCCGCGTTCCCGTAGCCCGTGTACTTAACAAACCGTGACACTGCCGGGAGACAGGCAGAGAGACCACCCTATGCCTCCCTCCTGTGCCTCCCCCCCGTGCCTCCCTGCCAGCCCCAACAGCAAGATCCACGTGAGGCCACGGGGACGCAGCAAGGCCAGCGCTTCGCTGAGGTTGCACAGGGAGTGAGGCTCCCATGCTACAGACAGGGACGACACCCCGGGGTGGGGGTCTGAATGCAGGCTGGGGTGTCCGCAGGGTGGGGGGGGTGTCCTCCCGCAGAGCCTCTCGCTCACTGCCATGAGACACAGTGGCTCCTTCCCACAGGCACCAGGATATCCCCTCTTTTCCCTGCTCAGTGCATCAGGCACAGGGAAGGCATAAATCTGGCTGCAGCGGGTGACCTGTCCCATGCTCCGGCTTGCCCAAAGGCCCAGCTCCAGGACTCCATCACTGAAGCCCCCAGCAAGCCCCTGCAACTCACCGCTCTCCTTGCAGAGCACAAAGAGGAACTCTGCCGCGCAGTGCTTCACGTCGGTGTCGATGTGGGTCATCAAACGCACCAGCTTGTTCCGCAGCGAGTTCCCCACCTCCGGCCGGTTTCTCACATCCCGGAGCGGTGGCAGCACCTGCAAGGCCACAGTGAGGGGTGATCAGCAGAGCTGGAACAGCAATGGCAGGTCAGACAGGGGAAAACCCACGTACGTTTTACAAATCAGCCACAACCAACAAATAGACAGAGCATGGGAGATGTGGGAAAAACACTGGGCACCAAAGGCCTCCACCACCTGAGTATCAGAACCTAGTAGAGAGATAGAGGAGGCCTGTCTGGAGGATGGTTTGCTGTTCTCCTCTCAGTGCAGCACCATTCAACTTTTGGCTGGACTACAGTGTACCTTTGCCTTCAGGAACTTCCTCGTCTGGCGGTGGACGCGGGCGCTCTCTGTCAGCAGGTTCAGCACGGGGGTCAAACTCTCCTTCAGCTTGTGTCCCTGCAGAAGTGCCCACAGGACGAACACCCTATTAGTCACACCGAGCTCAGCTCGGCCGGCCTGTGGCAGAGCACAAAAGTACAGACTAGGGGAACAGAGGGACCCTGGAGCTTTCCAGCATCCACTACGGGAATTTCACTGCTGCTTCACTCCTCAAACCACATGGTTTTCCAAGCCCTGCTCTGTGGCATGGCAGCACTAGAAATACTTCTGTAGGGCAACCAGATAGAAAAGCACAGCGGTAAATTTTGGAGGCCCTTTGGAATAATTCAAGATGGAAAACCACAGCCAGCTTGACAACAATGCACGTTCAGGCTTCCAGAAGCTGCCCATCAGATCACTCCAGCGCACCAAGGTTTCAGTCACCCAGCTAATCACCTACTACCACCCACCATCCCCAAAACAACGTCACAGTCACCGCCCCAGTTGACAGATGTTGTTTTAGTCCTACCAAGCACAAGTTTTGCCTCTGCTAAAAACTGCCCCTTCTATAAAGGGCCATCTCCAAACTAACCACACCTTGCGGTGCTCCTGGGGTGTTGGCACTGGGGTCTCCCAGGCTGTGTGCAGGCTGAAGAAAGGGCCTGCAGGGAGCTCATGGAAACAGGCAGTGAGAACTTGCACAGCAGCCTCACAACTCACCCTGTCGAGGCGTCGCTCCAGGAAATCCAGCAGGATGCTGACCGCGTCCATGTTGACACCCATGTACTCAAGAGAGCCTGGCCGGACTTTCGGGGTCAGGAGGACATCCAGACACTTCAGGGGCAGGTTGCCCAAAAGGTTAACTGTATGACTAAACACGTAAAAAAAGAGAAGTGAACACTCAGTGACAGATCTTTGTTCACAGAAGTTCTCCACCAATCCAGAAATGAAGGCTCGTTACTAACTTCCCAGAGTGTGAGGACCCTGAGATCCATGCTGTCTTTGGGCTGCATCCCAAGATCCTCACACACCACTAAAAGCAATTAAACTAAACTGCTTTTTGGAGAGTTGAACCATTTTCTAGCAGTCCACACAGATTTCAGTGACAACTGAGAAGCCATGGATCATGATGCCAAGGCCAGGCAGGACCAGCCTGGGTGGTCAGGTCTTTCTCCAGGGCCTCAGGCCACCCCACTCCTCACCCTGGCACTCTGAGCAATGATCACTCAGGATTCCTCCCAGCACTGTCATCCTGGGGACAAGATGGTGTCCCCTGCTCGGAGCTGACATTCCTGGGGGGCCAATAACGCTCAGCCACATGACACAGGCAATTTCTCAGTGTGGCTCAAGAGACAGACAGTTAATTAAGGCCACCCCACTTAATTAAAGTACCAAACATCTGCTCTGGCAGGCTGCCCGGGGGGTGTGTCAGCACAGCTGACAAGGCCTGACCAGGATATCTAATACAGCCCTCAGGGTAAGGCAGGCTGGGGGAAAACCCTTCCTGCTGCAGCACTTGTGGGGAGGGCAGGGCTGCCTCTGGGTTCCAGCAACACCAGAAACCTGTGGGCCAAACCAAAGGCACCTGCTTGTCAGCAGTGACTTTGGCAACCTCCAAAAAAGCAGAGAATGTTACTGCCAAGGTCAGGCAGGATCTGTCTTGGGAAGAGCTGTTTCTAGCTAAGATGGTGACCCAGTTATCTAACAGAGACCTGTGGAACTCCTCTGTCCGGTCCTCTCCATCTGCAGAGATCATGAGGCAGTGGCGCAGGAGGGCACCCAAGTGCCGGTATAAAGCAGCATCTTCCTGGCCCCGAAACAGAAAATGGAAACCTCGATCAGGAAAGGGGATCCTCCACATCGCAGAGCCCGCTGCCCCTGCAGTCCCTAGCCCTGTCCCGCCAGCAGCCTGACGACTGACAGTTTCAGTGGAAGCAGCCCCCCAACTCTCCTTTTTAACATGCTGCCCTGTGCCCTTCCCCTCCTTGACTACACTGAGTCAAGGGCTGGAAGAGGCCCCAGAACTGGCCTGTGGGTTAGCTAGAGGTGTTCTCCATCACACCTCCCTCTGACCTCGTCCAGAAGGTGAAAGCACCAGGCCACACTCAGAAGCAGGTTATCTGGGGGCTCTGCTCTTCCACTTGTGCAACAAATCAGGTCATTAAGAAGGAAAAATACCCAACTCTTACATTATAAGGCTCTAAAAGTCTTAAGGGTTAGTGAGGCACTGGATAGAGGCAGTGCTCTAGGAAGGAAGGTCCTTACACGTACCTGGGGGCTGCATGAGGGCCATATGTAACATGAGGAAACGCACACAGAGGAGAAAACCTGTAGTCAAAGTGCAGCCTGGAGACATGTAAAGGCAGTGGGGCAGGACACTCACCTCATCCACCTCCCTCTTGCTGGAGTCAAAGGTGATATTGAAGAGCACTTTCAGGATCTCCATGGCTCGCTCTGTCTCCTGCCGAGGCAAAGGTGGCAGAAGTCCCTCCTCAGCAGCAACTTCGTAGGGGTCCATCCACTTGACACCAAGGGTCAGCTCCAGGGTGTCTGTCATCAGGCTGACACCCCGGAGCTCCTGGGCCAGCTGCTGCCGCACATCCACCCTCAGCGCTGTCAGCAGGAACAGCAGACGCAGGTCGAAGAACTTGACCTCATGAGGAAGGCTCCTCTCGTTGTACAGCTTGATGCGCTTGGCCAGGCCCACCACCAGCCGGGCCTCGGCTGTCAGCTCCTGGGCCCTAGGGCTGCTGAAGACAATGTTGCAGAGACATTTGAGGGATTCCAGGATTACATCCAAGTCTGGGACCTCCCGGATGAGCTCCTCCGAGTAATCAATGCCAGCATGCCTGGAGAGGGTCTTCAGGCTCTCCTTGGTGGTGAAGGGCTCAAGGCAGTGTTTGTCCCGTGACAGGATGCGGATGCTTTCCAAACACGTGACCTGGCAGGATGGCTGCAGCTCTCTTTCCAGGAACTTGATCAGCAGCTGGGCCATTTTCTGTGTGATTGGAAACAAAGGAGGACTTGCACACTGACGTTTCACAATGCTCCCCCCTCCTGGTAACACTCTGCCCTGGAAGATGCAAACATCACCCAGAGATGGGCCCGTTAAAACCTCTAGCTCAGGCACACGCTCAGGAAGTGTCTGGCTCCAGCATCTGATCATGACCCAGTTTGAGCAAGGACACCCAGCAAGAAACAGAGAATGGCTGAGGGGACCAGGGTGAGGGACAGTGTGGACAGGCAACTGCTACTGGTGCGTATCTCAGTTCCTCCCGTGGTTAGGATGGTTGAGGTTAACACAGTTCACTCAACTGCTGCATCAGGCAAAGGGAGGGAGGGCAAAAACATCCCTTATGGCTTCACTAAGGAGCAACCACCAATGCAACAGCAGCTCTCTGCTCCTGCCCAGAGCCTCGAGATTAGACAGGCATCTGTTCTGGGTGCTCCAAAACCAGACTGAACAGATTGAGAGATGTGCCAGAAAAATCACCAAGGGAGGGCAGAAGGAGCTAAGCAAGGCGAGACAAGCACGTGATGCCCTAGGAAAGGAGGTGGAGAGATCTCAGGAGACTCAAATAAGCAGCATCTCTGGATCATCATCTGGAGACCCACTAGCCCAGATCCTCAGGAGGTGCAGACTGGTAGAGCTCCACTAACACCAATTCAGGAGAGCTGAAGATTCGACCCCTGGGGGTAACAGCACCATGCGGGACAGCGAGCAACGAGGGGTGCGAGAGCAAAGGCAGCGCTTCACGCAGCGAGCACAGCCCACTTTGAACCATGCCTAGCAACACCAGCAATTCCTGCAGAGACATCTGCACCTCAGTGAGACCTCGCTAAATCTCTCTAACATAACACTGTACCAGAGCACATCTTGCCATGCATGTCACAGCAGCGGAGTCCCAGATTGCAAGGTTCACTGTCACTTGGTGTAACCGGCTTAACACTGCCTAATTGGTTATATTTCATAATAATAATAAAAGAACTGAGGGAAGGAATGAAGAAAAAATGAATTTTAGTCCCTAATGTGAGGCTGGCAGAACTGAACAAGCTTTAGCTCACCAAGCGTGCCCCATAATCACACCCTTGAGAACTGAGAAAGTACAGTCATTCCTCTTCTCCTTCCACAGGAGGAGACAGACATAGGAGTTAAAGATACAGTCACAAGTAAAACCAAACCCTCTGACTGACTCAGGTTGCAGGGATCTCAGAGCACATGCCCAGGGCTAAACTTCCAGAAGAACTGAGCACCGGAAACCAGATGGTGACACTCAATCCATATTTCATAAGATACACCCCAAAAGTGGCAGACCCCAAGTTTGTGTCTGAATTCATGCCCCGTGTCCCAGCTCAAACACCAAGTCAGTGCAAGGTAGAGCTCAGATCTTGGGAGAACCCATCCTATGTGTCAGGCTGGACCTGGCAAAACTTCACACTAACATTAGCTGTGGCTCAGGCGAAGGAGGTCCCGTTCCCCACCCTGCTTGCCTGGTCCCCTCGTGCTGTGCCAACACAGGCATTAGTGCAATCAGCCAATGAATGGGACCACAAACCCGATACAGCTGGAAAATAACCCAGGAAAAAAAAAGTTATTCTTTAGGTCAGTCGGCCCACCAACCATATGCAGCTGTGCAAAGGGCTGTCCTTGCTTGAAAGGACTGCAAGAGCAGAAATAGATAGGCAGGAGCATCTCTTCCCATGAAGCACCATCTTACACCAGCTTAAAGCATCTGCTAATTCCCAGCCTGTGCTGAACCCCGCAGCTGGCTCACAGCAGAGCACTGACCCTCTGGAGCCCTGCGCACTGCCCTGACCCTTGCCTAGCAGACCAGGCCACAAACATGAAGGATCATGCTTTTTGTACACCTGTGGCTGAGCCTGTATCCATCACGGAACCCAGAGGGCTTGCTAATGCTGCAGGGATGCTGACCTGTATCATAGAACACCAACTGCTGATGGGAAAACTGGAGCCAGATGCTCTGAGAACACCATTCCCTAATCAAGTTAATGAAAACACACTCATTTCTTTTCCCGTAGGAGCTGCCACCACCAAGCCCTGCTGGACACAAGTACAGAGCAGCAGCAGATAAGAAAGCAAAGAGCTTGCCTACCTTCCTCTCTTCCCGTTCCTCATCATCAAAGGTGAAGCACTGAGATTTCTGTGGGGCAAAACAAAACCAATCAAAATAAGTAATAGGTTAAAAAAAAAATCCACAAAACTGTTTCCCCCAGCCAGGGGAGGGCCATTCAGCTGGAAAGCAGCAGGTCTAAAAGCATCCTGCAAAAGCAAGCACATTGTCTCAAGAACAGTCCCCACCAGCACAGGGGCAGGGCATCAGCATGGCCAGGAGGGCCACAGCACTCAGGGGGTCCGTGGTATTTGGGGGGTTTGTAAGAACTGGTGCAAGCTCCTGAGGAAAACTTCCCTGTCACTGGTTTTTGCTTCAGTCCCGCTTTTTCTTTCCAACACTGTTCTCACCTCAGCAACTCCAACTATGTGCTTCACAGGGAGGGGGAACAAATCTGGTTTGAAAAGCACGGAGAAGGACCAGGCCACCAGGTCCAAAGTGCTTTCCTTTGACTGAAGGCCCCACTGTTCCACAGGTCCCCGTTTCTCTTTCCTCCTTGAAAAAATTCCAGGATGAATATGGCCCACTGCCCTCTTCCGCTGGCTCTACAGTGGAGGCTGAATGCCACAGGCCAAAGCTGGACCTGTCTGACAACGGACTCATTTTTAAACACTGCAGCAGTAAAGTGGGTATTCATCACAATCCAAATATCCCATAATAGCCAGTAATTCCTCTGCTCAGTGACACCACCAAGCTGCACCTACAAATTTCTTGATATTTCTTGTTCCCTTTCCTGACCAAAAGAAAGTCCTGTCTCCTTGTTACTTGCCAGCAGATCCTGGTGGTTATTCAGGCCACATTCTTTACCCACCAGAGACCTGATCTCTACAGATCCATCACGTTCCTGTCCCTAATGAGCAGTCCTGCTCTTTGTTCATGGGAGACGTTTCTGCATTTCTCACTATTCTGGCTGTTCCTCGATGGAGTCTCCTTTCTGGCTACATCTGCTGCCAACAAACTGGGCACCACAGGACCCCTGCTGAAAAGCGGCACTTTCCAGTGAATGATGAAACCCTCATTTACACCGAGAGAGCAGCTGGTCCAAGCTTTGAGAATGAAAACGTGTAAAATTTATAAAACACTAATTATGTATTTATAGATGCAGCTAAATCTATAGAGATATGCGGATATAATTGTATCATAATCCTCCCATCGTTTTCTTAGCACTGTCAGCTGAGTTACGCTGCTTATACTTACGGAGCTGCTCAGTAATTAGTCTTACCACAATCAATCCCTCTTATACTCTGGACTTACTCTTCTCTTGAGCAATCGCACTTCACAGATATCCCACCTACAGGTCTGACCATCTGAGCTCGTCTCAGCCCATGTATCACCTCACAAATTGTGCAGTTGTCTAACCCTACCCGACTTCCCACCCCGCAAAGCCTGGGACTGACTGCACTGAGCTTCTGGAGACCACAGGTGATCCCGGACTCGCTCACTCTGCAAACACAGCCTCCCCTGCCATTCACTGCCTTTTTTATGTGCTGCCAATTCCTCTCTGCTTAAAAGCAGAAATACAGCTTGCAGATTAACCATGTCACAGCCTTTCTGGCCCAAAATAAGGCGCGACAGAGAGCAAAGCCGCCAGGCCATCTGAGAAAGCCCAGACGTGGCGGTGGGGCAGCCAAACACCCCTGTGGGGCTGTGCCAAGTGCTTCCCTCTCCAGCTGTAGCTCCCAGAGCTGGTCCCTGCACAGGCTGCAGCACCACGTCATGAGGCACTGGCGGTTCAGCCCTGGAACCGATGTGCTCCGCAGACAGCCATGCGCTTGTTCTTTCTCTATTGCACCCTCTCTGCGGGCTTCTGTAATCTCATTCGTGTATGCTCTTGCCATACCTGTAGTTTTGCTTTAGCTGTAGTTTAGTCTTGGCAATCAAAAATTGACTGTGTCTGCAATAGTTAATTAAAACATCCCAGAAAAAGGACAGTACTGTCAATTTTTACAGTCAAAAATTATGGAAGGAAGTTGCTGAATTTATCTGCAGTTTCATAATCCTCTTTGGTTGCTCCATTTCTTCTAGATGGGCTAGCAAAACCACTGACATTCTCACAAGTTTCCTACACTCGATACACTGACAAAGGATCCAGCTGGAGGAATCTGACAAAATATTGTGGTTTGATGCCTCGAGCTGGGTACACATCAATCTCTGCTTGCACTTTGCTTTTCTCCAGAATTTCACCTGCTGTGGGTGATGTTAATCCTGTGGACTGTCTTTAATACGTACCTGCTCCCTCTTAGCTAATATCTCCCCCGTTCCAAAACCAACTGCTGGAAAGAGTTGTGCACTCTCCCTCTTGCACACTTGTGCAAAGTATTCACAGGTTTTCCCTGCTAGCTTCCCACCTACTCCAGAATGGTGCAGAGTGAGTCACGGAGATCTGCAGGGCCAGCCCTACCCTGTGGAAACCCTCTGAAAGAATTTCCCTGACAACCATAGTCTACTTCAAAAGGGATTTACCTCCACAGATAATCTTTTGACACTTTAAGACTAGAAACTCTTCCATTCCTGCTTCCCAACCACTCTTTTTCTGATGTTCTATATTCATTACTCACTTCTTATTGTCAGCTTTCAGACCAGGCACCTGTATCAAATTCCAGCAGCCCCTCCTTATCCACTTCTAATGATCTTTTACTTGCAAATCATGACAACCATTCCACCTGCAGCTCCTCCCCATGCCTCAGTTTTATCACCTCCAAACCTTGCCTTAACATAAAAGCTCCTCCTACTCAGTCTTCACACTGATGTTTATTTCCCTGCCAGGTTTTACTTGGGATCTGTATAGTAATAAAAAAAAAAAAAATCCCTTCTACATGCTTTACTTCCAGTATATGAAGGAACCAAGATGAAGAGAGACTGCTTAGCTGCTTCCAAGCACAACAAGAAGCCATAAACCATCTGCAAGTAAGAGATGAAGCAGTCTGAAGTGTGCAGACAGACACGCTCAGAGGAGACAGACTGGGGACAGGCAGATGGCACAGAAATCCCCCAACACGCCAGCCCACCCCCAGGCTGGTACACGGCAGCGGCTGACATCGGACAGAGGTCTGATGCTCACTCACCTCCTGGTTGTAGACCTGAAGCACCTTCAGAACCGTGTCTTGCTCCCCGCTTTCCACAGTGGCTACCACAGTCCTGAGCTCCATTATCTCAACAGATCAGCTACAGCAGGTGAAACGGGGAGGAAGGGGAGTGAAGGGGCTTCCAGGGTTGCAGGAGAACAGCGATGCAAGAGGACTTCGATGCACAATGTCTGAGAGGGAGAGAGAAAGGGGTGGGGAAAGAGGAGAAAAAACCAAAACACAAAAAACCCCCAAATGAGATTGCTCACGCTGTTGCATCTATAAAAGTAGAACAGATGGATAACCCAAGTAGAACCAGCAGCCAGCTTCCTCTCTCTCCCTCTAATCCTCTTCTTCCTCTCTTTGCTTTTCAATGTTTAATATATGCCCTCTCAGTAAAGCACTTAGGGAGAACCTTCCCCCCACCCAGCCGGGGATTAACACAGAGCAGATAACAGCAGCTCCCTGAAATAGCTCTCTGCCTCCTCCTCCCCTGGCTGGCCTGATTTCTGTTACTGCACAGGAGAAAAAAAAAAAATATCCAGAAACATTGCTGTGGAGTAGAAGGGGATGGAGAGGAAAGCCAGCCAGATAGGAAAGCATCCTCCTGGCTTAGGGTGGAGCTACCATTTAAGGTGGTGAAAAGAAAGAGATCTTTGGGATTTTGTTGCAGTTGCTGCTCTGTGCGGTCAGTGCACGAGAAAGGTTGTGCATCAGATTAGGGCAGATATGCTGCCCAGGCGGTGAAAAACGCACATACGGGGCCAGCCAGCCTCCATGGCTCAAATCTCGTGTCATTACAGAGATAATGCGCCTCATGATAATAATGTAAATGAGCAGATGTGCACAGAGATGTGGATGATGAGATTATTTTAGAGCCATGCTCAAGTTTAACAGTTTGTAGAGCCATGCAAGTCCACAGTGCTGGAAAGTAACTCCTACTGGTGGAAAATCTCGCAAATTTGAGTACATCTGGGAGCTCGTATATCAGTTTAGGCTCCGTGTAGCTACGTACTATGTTCTGCAGTATGACCAAGCACTGGTCACACCTAACTACAGAAAACCGTGCTGGCCCTGGGACCTGCGCCGAGAGCCCCCGGGGCTTCGGGAGAGCCCCTGGGAGCACCCGGTTACCCATCCCCTCCCACCCCACCACCCCCGAAGAGGGGTTCGGTGGGACCGGGGGCAAGTCCTGCATTTTGGAAGCCAGAAAGCTGCGAGACCCGGGGGGTCTGTCCCCCAGGGCAGACGGCACAGCGTCCCCAGCGCTGGGCTCCATTCCGATTTTTTTGGGGGAAAAGCACAGATCGCAGCATCTGTCATTTTCCACCCCAAACCTTTCCACACACTCCCAGCTCCCCCCTCACACCGCTACCTCCTTCTCCCACTCTTTTCTGCACCTTTCAAAACCCCTTCAAGCCCTTCCTGGGGTTTTTTTTTTGGCCCCAGGAAGCCGGGCAAAGCGCTGGCGGTACCTGCGGCACGCAGTCCCTCGGAGACGGCCGAAGCGGGCCGGGGCCTCAGGGCTAGAGCCGGGCCCTACCCCGGCCCACCCGGGTGCCCTCCCTCTCTCCGGCCGCCGCCTGTCCCGTCCCGTCGGCCCTGGCAGCCTCGGCCCACGGGGGAGGGC